TCCCGAGCTTGAATGACACACAGAGACCAATCAAGGGCTTTGATTTGATCATGTCGGCAGGCCACATCATGTAGACAGCCAGTCACCCTGTGTGAGGCAGGCCACTTAACAGGCCAGAAGGAGGCGAGATCAGAGAAAGGGAGCGAGGGATCATTGTCCACAAGTTAATCGATCGCAGATGGCGTCGTGGTCACGGACGAAACAAAATAAAATAATAATTATTTAAAAAAACAACAACAAAAAAACCTAAATGGGTCGCGAAATATACTTGGGCGGCCGTTAATATACCTGGGCGGCCCACCCAAGTATAGTCTATGTGTGGGAAACCCTGCATTAACAAGACTAATTAGTGAACATCTAGAATTACACTTCATTCATGCAGGCTTTCAAGAGCAGTAAGTAACATTAGAAACAGACATAACCTACCTCCTCCGAATCGCCATCCTCGCCCAGCACCTGCAGCCTGTGAACAACGAACCCAAAGCTTTGTTAGTGCCATTTTGAAACACATTTACTAACATGGTCGTGGTAATAAAGCCAGTGTGGCTGCAGCTAGCAGAAATAAAAAGGCAGCAAAACTTCCTGAGTGGCGCCAAACCTCACACGCTGCTCCGTCTATTGACAGCCTAAACATGCTAAGTGGCTAACAGGATGCTAACTCTGTATGCAGTACCAGCTCTAACTGTCAAGTGACAACAAGCTAACGCTAGGTGCAGATGCTAGGATAAGCAAAATAGTAGAGGAGAAACAACCAGAGCAAGTGTAGAGCAGAGAGTTATACGGGTTTTATGTAGCTTTGGCGTTTGGACAAGACAACAAGCTGCATGCATGCTACACTACATCATCAATACATTATTAGCAGAGAGGTTACAAACGTTAACGTACCTTTTCCTGACATCCTCTGGCAAAGACAGGGAAGTCCTGGATGGCATGGTACACAGCTAGGTTAACGTTTGAGATAAAACAATAAAACAGCTTTAAAAATCCGTTAAAAACAATGTTAAAAACGCCGTTTGTCACTACAGCGCGTCTCCACAATGACTGTCTCTCGATTGCTGTCTCTTGCAATGGATGCTATAAAGCAATTCGGGCGCGCGGGCCGTCTTTTCGCGGGGAAACCCGGGTGTTGTGGACTGTTCCACTGCTGGTGTCTATGGGTGAAACACTTACAATACGTTACGAAATATTTCCCTCCTGAATGCATTTTTGGGGTTTCAAACCAATGTCGTATAACATATACATTGTAATACAACATTTTGATTATCACACAGTTGTAAAAATAAAGAAATATACGTTTCATGAGAACAACAACTATCTGGACTTACCTCTACTGTTTGCAATATGTTGTTGACAACTGACCAGGCGGAAGCAATCTGAATGTTGTTTACTAATGAGCTATGTTAGCAAAACCCTGCATTTCAAATGAGTTTTATGAGGGCTACTATACTTTTGAATGATAACACGTAATACAAGAATTGTGAATGTGAATTATAGAGTTTTCGCCTTACGTGCTCGTTTACACCTGTAGATTTCTATGTTTATGGAACAACTAGATTAGAAGATATTTTAGACAAGCTCACTACGATCATGGATTTATAAAGTGAACGACTACACTTTAGTAAGCATATGTATGTCAAATGTCAAAAGATTAACTAATCACTTTCTGCTGTTATGTGTCATTTCCATTCAGAATCTGGCTGCAACATTTTCTTTTTTTGTGTAGATTCAGATAAAAAATTAAGCAACTTTTGGGTCATTCCAGAATGGCCCAAAAGAAGGAGATTTTCAGTCCCACCTATGACATTTAAAATAAATAATCTATGACCAAAAGGCTAAAACATGCACTTGATATACGTCCTTAGACAAAACGTAAATAAAGTTGAAGGAATAGTGGATTTAAAATCTTATTCAAAATATCAATAGGCTCTTGAGCACTCCCTCCTTCTTGGTGACTGAAATATAACGTTTAAAATATACTTTTTATATTATATTATTATTTTATTATTCTGTTACTACAATTTTGTTGATATGTGTCTCCTGTAATGGTCAAATAATTTTGTAAAAGTATAAACACATTTCAAATAACATTAATTTGACACTAAAAGTGTGTCAACATGCGCACACCTTACTGAAACCTATTTAGCCTGGCAGAGGAAGGAAAAAACTGTAAGTCAAATGACAGAGGACATTATATTATCAAGCCATGTGCTACTGACATGGGCAGACCAAAGGTAAGTCCTCTCTTTTACTTTGCATACAGTGCATCCGGAAAGTATTCACACCCCTTCACTTTTTCCACATTTTGTTATGTTACAGCCATATTTCAAAGTTGATTAAATTCATTTGTTTTCTCAACATTCTAGACACAATACCCCATAATGACAAAGTGAAAAAAGTTTTAAAATATTTTTTGCAAATGAATAAAAAATAAAAAACTCAAATATCCCATAAACACAAGTATTCACACCCTTTACTCAATACGTTGTTGAAGCACCTTTGGCAGCAATTACAGCCTCAAGTCTTCTGAGTATGATGCTACAAGCTTGGCACACCTATCTTTGGGCAGTTTCTCCCATTCTTCTTTGCAGATTGTCTCAAGCTCCATCAGGTTGGATGGGGAGCGTCAGTGCACAGCCATTTTCAGATCTCTCCAGAGATGTTCAATCCGGTATAAGTCTCGGCTCTGGCTGGGACACTCAAGAACATTCACAGACTTGTCCTGAAACCACTCCTTTGGTATCTTGGCTGTGTGCTTAGGGTCGTTGTCGTGTTCGGGTTCTTGGTCACCTGTCTGACCAAGGCCCTTCTCCCCCGATGCTCAGTTTGGTTTGGGCAGCAAGCTCTAGGAAGAGCCCCGGTGGTTTCAAAAATCTTCCATTTGCAAATGATGGAGACCACTGTGCTCGTTGGGACGTTCAATGCTGCAGACATTTTTCTGTACCCTTCCCCAGAACTATGCCTTGATACAATCCTGTCTCTGAGGTCTACAGTCAATTCCTTGGACCTCATAACTTGGTTTGTGCTCTGATGTGCACTGTCAACTGTGGGACCTCACATAGACAGGTGTGTTCCTTTCCGAGTCATGTCCAATCTATTTAATTTACCACAAGTGGTCTCCAATCAAGTTATAGAAACATTTCAAGGATCACCAGTGGAAACGGTATGCACTTGAGCTCAATTTTCAGTGTCATAGCAAATGTGTGAATACTTATGTACATGTGATATTTCAATTGATTGTTTTTAACGCGTTTGCAAAAGATTATTTAAAAACGTTTTCACTTTGTCATTATGGGGTATGTGTGGGATATTGAGAATTTTTTTTTTTTAAATAAGGCTGTAACATAACAAAATGTGAAAAAAGTTAAGGGGAATGAATACTTTCCGGATGCACTGTATGTTTCTTATCTTTTTAGTCTGAGTGTGCCACTATAACCAACCAAACCCATTATTCATATTATCAGAAAAAAGACAATTTAATCTCAAATCTATTTTTATTTAAATATCTAAGTTTGTCCTTGTCTTGAAGGTAGCATGACATTCTGCAGCTAACATTTATTTCTAAGGTAAAAGCTAACATAAGCAATGGTATGCACTGTTGTATTTTTTGCAGTTCAATTTATTATGTTTATTCATATTAAATGTTTATGTATATTTAGCATAATCTAAATGTTTCAAATTAATTACTATATTTTCCCAGAATATGAACTTTTTTATTGGCACCAGGGAGCCTAAACATGTTAAGGTTGCAACAATTAACACATTTTCTTAACAACTAACTCAAAATGAACACCATTTTGTTTCAATTATAGTTTGAAGATGTTAATGGACGTTTTAAAAAAAATTAAATTAAAAAAATCTAATAAGAAGTGTACCTTTGATGCCTGAGTTGACCAAATAATTTATTTTGATGGTTTACTAGCTGTTTTGATCAAATACATAACAGAACATTCGAAAATAAAAGGTTCATTTTTTCAAAAGTTTTGATGTCTAAATGTCCTCCAACTCTGGAACATCCCTTTTATGCTTTTATTGGGTAGACATCTAGTTAAAGAATATATGGAGGAAACATCCTTCATTATTACCAGCTATATATCCATTTCACCACAAGGTGGTGCTATGTCACTGATAGTCTTTTCAGATTGTAAACCCTCTTGCTGTCAAATTGTAATTGCACATTCAACCTGGCCAAGTTTCTTTTCTTCAGATAAATTATCTATATATATATATAGAACTATTTTAATTGAAAAGTGATCCATTTTAATTTTGCAGACAGTTTAGGCAGTTTGATGTGTATAATATATACAAAAACTCCTTCAGATGATATACCTGTTGTTTTTTGTAAATGTTTTGTATATGAAGTATTTCAAGCCATGCACTGTTTTCAAAGACATGCTCACATCTGTCTTGCTTGTTGCTGATTTAATTCTTTTGTGTATACAACTTCACCTACAGGTTTCTGAGCGTGATGTCATATCCTGCATGGGCACTGGAAATGCTTGGCCGGCTTCCCAGCAGTGCAGCCTCCTGGGGCTGATACAGCCAAAGTTCCCACCCAGGAATCCTGGACGTCTGACAGGAAACAACCCAACTCTCCCAAGACCACTATAAGTCAGTCTCTCCCCTCACTAAAAGTCTCCCCCTTACCCCAAAATCTCTCCTGGGGCCTTTTTCTGTGCTTCTCTCAGACAAACCATCTTACAAATAGACATTTCACCACACCCCATATTCATCCTCTCTGCCCTCAGCCCAGCTTCCCATCATTGCCCTCTCTTGCATTAGCCTTTAGCGATTGTACATTTTTATTAGGCAAGACAGCCAATTTCAGGCTTTCATGTTGAATCTAGTGTTTTCCTAACCTTGTTAGAGCATGTTTGGATTAAATGTTGCATTTGAAATAAATTTCAGATGAAGGCACAATAGGGAACGTCTCAGGACCTGCAGATAAGCTGCAGCTGCAATGAAATTGTTTACAGCTAAGAATTAAAGTCAAACACACAAACTGGATTTATTTATTTCATTTATTTTATAAAAAAACGGAATGCAATTAACAAAAAGTTTATGTACCTACATTAGTGTTTCAGATTGTACCGATTTAACACAGGCAGCGTGCTACTGGACACAAAAGGCTATTGCACACGAGACATTTCATACAACACACATCATACATATTGTACAAAAATACATACATACTTACATACAAACATACATAGTTATTCATGTATTTATTATAAACATCATAGAGTCAAGCAACACAATGAAGTGATAGGTACACAGATTCAAAAACCTCTCCATCTGAAAAAAACAAACTGGGGGAAAGCAAACATCATTGAAGCTGCCAAAGTGCTTTTCACCATTTCTACTTGGTTGTCTAAATGTAAAAGTCCATATATAAAACACTGGGGGAGAGAATAGTTTTTAATTGTGTGGCTACAGGAAGACGGTTAGTGTAACCCTGAACAACAGGAACCGGAAAATGAAAAACAGGACTTCCTGTGGTTGAAGGAAGTTACATGTTGTAGGATGTCAGAGGATGAGGATGAAGGTGACCTCCCATGAGGGTAGATCCCCCCTCCATGCATTTGTAACCGGATCTTCTCCCATTTTTTTTACGGAAGGCTTTGGAAATATGAGACGTGTGTACCTCTTTAGCTGCACAAGACATATGGCTAGCAAATTAAACAATGATGTTTACAACACATTTTTTGTTCATGGTGCTATTTAAGACTTCACAGTGAGTGACCTACCCTGTTCATTCCACTCTCTGCTAGTCATGACTTGGTAATTCAAAAATAATGATCAATAATACTGTCAACAATGGAGCGCCTGCCCCAAACACTTCATACATACATTCAGCCAAATTCCCTAAGAAGAAGGCACAAACAGACACATCACATTGCTGCTATGTTGCTACAACACTGTCAGGACATTGGTCCAGTTAGTGCAGCTGTCATTGAGTAAGATTCATCAGTGCTAACTCACTTCAGGAAATGTGCTTTCTGATTAGGCCTTCCTCTAAGGAAACTGTTAAGATACAAAAGACAACAGTAAAAGCAAGAGGTACAGATTATGAGGACATATGAGGGGAGGGGTGTTAGTGATGGAAGCTGGAGCTGGAATATGTCATACATACATTAGCACTTACAAATAAGTTAGAATTTCATGCATTAAATGTAAGCAGATTATGTAAGTTTGTCGTAGTTAATCAAATGTTAAAGCAAGGTTATATAGGGGATATATAGCCCTGGTTTTGGTGAGGGAGCACTCGTGTTAATTTGGCTCCTTTGGAGTGCAGTGCTGAGTAAAGTTGATTACTGTCTCCAGCTTTGTAAAGAATAGGCGATGGATCTCTGGGCCTAATCTTTACATATATTAACAGAGGTAAGTCATTTGGTAACGTTTCACTGAGGACAACAATATCTGAAGTAATCTACAAAGTGCAACTTTGCAAGCTTTGCATTGATGATGTTCCTGAAACAACCAAAACAACTCACCATAACTTTGATGTTGCATGTTATGTGTCAATTTTTGGCTTTTAATAGGGGTTAACATGTGTAGAAAAAAAGTTGACAGTCATATACAACAAAAGGCTTTGTAACAAGTTTGAGTACCCATGAAAAAGCTATTTTCACATTTCTGATAGTTCTCCCCACTGAATTGTCTCCCTCTTGAAGCATTGTGTTTGAACACCGGCTGCCACCAAGTCAATGCTGATTGTGAATTCAAACAATTCTGATTGTAATAAGGAAACGTCTACATTGTAGCTTTCCCAGGCATCAACGTACACAGTTTGGTCGCTTCTTTATTTACGTCTCTTGATCACATCACAGCCTTTCTTTTTGATCTCATATAAACACACCTGCTTCCTTACACTCACATGCACTCAACCATTCTGATGTGGTGCAGCTTTTCAGACACAGGTGGTACAATCTTTCATGATTGGCGTGTTCTGGTGTTCGTATTTGTTGGTGCAGTGTTCCAGAGAGCTGGAGCTCTTTAGAGGAACCAGACAACGGTCAGATGGCCGCCCACTCTGCAGCACCCCCCAGCAGCACAACACACGCAGGAACTCCTTTCTCATGTCCTTGCTGCGCAGTGTGTAGATCACAGGGTTAAGCGCTGAGTTCAGAGTGGCAAAACCAAAAAAGATGTCTGCTTTGGAGAGGATCGGGCAGAACTGTATCCTGCAGGATGAATCCAGGAGGAGGATGGTAAAAGCGGGCAACCAGCACATGATGAAGACACCCAGCACTATAGTGACAGTTTTCAAAAGAGCATAGGCCGGGGAGTTGGTTGCTTCATGGTGGCTTGATCGTACAATCAAATAGATCTTCACATAGAGGATGACAATAGAAAGTAGTATGAGGCTGAAAATGGTGACAACGAAGAGGATGTATTTCTTGGAGTAGAGTGGCAATACAGTTGAGCATTCAGGGAGGTTGTTGATGCAGTTCCAGCCCATGATGGGAAGTCCTCCGAGCAGGATGGAGGTGAACCAACAAGCTCCTATCAGAAGGAACATGCGGCACGTTTTGGTGGAGCCGTACACCTTCACCTTTGTAATGGCAATATAGCGCTCCGTAGCTATCGCCAGCAAACTGAAGACCGAAGCTGCCAAAGCGATAAACGCCGTTCCCTCCCGGATGAACCACTGCACAGGCATCAGGTCGAAGGTCTTGGACCCTGACAGGAAAATGTTGGCTATGTAGGCCGAGCCTGCCAGCAGGTCAGAGAATGCCAGGTTACCGATGAAGAAAAACATTGCAGAGTGAAACTTCTTGTTGCGGAAGACAGCAATAAGGACCAGCAGATTCTCCAGTATGATGATGGTGCAGAGGACCACGATGACAATGTTGAGGGTGGTCAGCTGCTTTTTATTCTCAATACGTTTATCGAGCTCCTGAGCAGTCATGTTCTTAGCAAAGGCATAGTAGGAGTGGATCAGGCTCTGATTGTAGTATTGGGAATACTTGCTCTTCATGGTGACAGGGTGGCACAGCACAGCAGCTTTACGACAAAGATTCATTCACACAGTGGAGATGTGCAGAGTGTCTAAGACGATAATCATTGCCTTTAAGGAAAGGACAGGAAGAGGGCCCAGACTGGGAGGGGCACTGCCTGACCCACGTCACATCTATGAACCTCTATGTGGGTCACCTGCAGAAACACAGAGAAGAAGAGAAAGCCTGGGTTACTTACAAGGGAATTTTTTTTGCACAAATGAAATAAAGTGTATCTAAGCAAACATTCACATTTTAGCAAAGCAATGTACTTGCCAAAGCAAAGTCCTCGAGCAAAACAAAGTAGCCAGGCAACAACCTGCACCTCAGTGTGCACAGTGGAAACTTAACATTTCAAGTCCAAAAGTTGAGAACCCCCTTTATTATCAAATGTCCCTGATTTGATCCATAAGATAAACAGATTTTAAAATAAGTAGCTGGTATTTATATTAAACTAAAGACCAACAACCACATGACAAATGAGTGGCCGACACACTGTGAACAAACTGTTCATTTGTTCTCAAGCTGAACACCCACACAGACAGTTGCAGCTTGTTGCAGTCCAAAAGGAATGGAAAGTAATACTCCAGTGATTCACAAGGGAGTCGTATCTTATCATAAAAACATTTTTTAGGGAAACTTAAGTTCACTCTAATAAATATTTACATGCGTAGATCTTCTTATTTTGGTGAAGCTGTGCAGGCAAAGATCATCTTCAGGTGGAAGAATAAATACTCTGCGAGTGCTGGTGCTTGGACAAAGGGCTCACAGTCTGATAGGGGACATTCCACTAACCCTGTCCGAGCACTCTGCTATCAACACATGGCATTGTTGTGGGAGCAGACCATTCCACTCCAGTGAGCTACCTCTTGAAACTGCAGCATAGCTTGTGGATCAGCTAGACCTCTCCATCCCAACCCGCCCCTTCCAACCAGTTCGCACAAGCTAACAGCAATTCAAGAAGATACCTGAGAAGTATAGGTGGGAGTTTTCCAGACTTCTTGAGAAAAAGCTTTGTCAGACTTGATTGCGGTGCATCAAAAGCACATTTTAGACTCTTTGAATGACATATTGGACAGGACTTATTACAATGAAATGTATTTAATTTTTAATTAAAAGGTTACATACACACACAGTGACACAACGCCGTACACTGCTTTGTTTCAACATGCCGTTATAGCCTGAAGACTATAGGGCTGCTCCATTATGGCAAAAATCATAATCTCGATTATTTGGGTCAATAATTGATATCACGATTATTAAAAAACGATTTACGATTTACTTTGAAAACACCCATTTATTGAAACAAATATGTGAACAGTATGCTTTTAACAGTTGATTACCCTGAACTTTAAGTATAATTCAACTGAAAAAACAATAAATAAAAAAAATAAAAAAATAGTTTTATTTCGATTATGTTGTTTTCATAATCGTTGCAAGCCAAAATCGTAATTGCGATTAAAATATGATTAATTGAGCAGCCCTACTGAAGACATAAACAAAGCGTTCGGGTTTATAATGACGCATTCAAACTAATTAATTAAACCTTGTGAAACGTTAATGTGGCTTCAAATTACTCGGAGACCTCTTTTTTAAGTAGAGCCCTATAAACAAACCAAATACAAATAAAAATGGGCAGCAGCTCCAGGGTGGAGAACAAATGAAGGTTGGAGGCTCTGTAAATCTAATTAAAGGTGGAGCTGCTGTCTTAAACCTGTCAAAAGCAACAAGATCCCTCTGCAGGCCAGCAGCTAGGTAACTCTACACGCTTCCACTGCTTCTCTTCTGCAGCTAGCTCTTAATTGGAAACCTTTAGTGGAAATTCGGGCTGAACCTCGTCTCTGTTCTGCTGGGCTTTGACTCAAACCCCTGAGAGACTGAGAGATGGAGAGGGAGCGACACAAAGCCAGACAGAAAGCATGCATGTGGAACGGCATCTGGACACAAAGGCTGGAATCTGAGACATCACTATGACGTCCACACACACCAACTCATCCATGTCACGTGTTGCACTGCACACAACTTTACTCTACACATGCACAGATAGCTTTCTTCAAACACACCGACTAATTGTGACAGACATATAGAGTAATGCAGCAAATCCTTCACCTTCATACAGGCAGGTTCAACACATAGCTGCAATTGGTTGCCGTTATTAACCAGTACACTGTTTCCTCAAGCAGGAACAAAGAACAATAGTTTCCTTCAGTGTAGATAGCATCGCCCTTCAGCCTTAATAATGGGACAGCACACTTCCATTTGGCTGCTGTAACTGTATCAAAGCCGAAATGTATTTAAAGTCCAGCACTTCCGTATCAGAACTGCTGTATCAGGGCAGCTCGTCTCCCCCTCCCCTCTTTTTCAGGTCCGTAAATTGACACAAATATGAGGCTTGAGCCTGAGCACATGTGCCAGCCGCACCAGTGTAATTACATTTGGTTGCATTACTGCAGCCTATAATGATTTTATTAATGGAAAAGTCAGCTTATATAGACCAGCTCGATATCCCCACAGTCTCCAGTCTGCTAAGATGAAAACACACTGGTTTTTGCTTCACCTTGGTTTTCCTCTCAGCTCTGCCACATATAGCGTGGACACTTTTCATATGTGATGCGGTGACAGCTCGATGTCGTCCTGTGTCCTGTCACGTTATAGGAGTCTGTCATCAAAGGGATTTCACTTTGTGTGTAAAACCTGACGGGCAGGTTTGCCTACAGCACCACCTCGTCGCAGCCCCGCCCCTCTACCTGCCGTGTGCCATTCAGATGTTTCCACGGTGATTGGCTGATAGGAGCACAGACTTCCTGCTATGTAACCCCTCCCTGGGTCTTCAAAGTTGTGCCCTGAGCTCGACCCAGACATCCCTGTCACACTTCAACAATAGACATAACACACTGTATCTACCAATTGCTCTCCTTACTAACACAATGGGGTAGAAACAACAACACAAACTCCTAAAGGCAATACTTCAGTTTATCACCACAATAATAACAACAGTTTGAAAGTAATTTTACAAGTACATTTTTTAAATATTCCTTGTATCCTATGAGCTGTTGACATTTAAGAACAAACTTAAAATGATATACAAAATATTATAGAATCTCAATCCTACAACCTCAAATATAGTTATTATACCAGACATACACTTTTGCGATGTATGCATTTTGCCTTAAATATGTATCCAACTGTAATTTATATATAATTAATCAGTAGGTCACATTCTAGTCTACTACTATTATAGGATTACAATGTTTTACTTTGGGACATTAGAGACTAGTACCGAGTTAATAATTATTTCATTATGACTTAATGTAAATACACTGAAGTTGTTTCAATTTTTCAATTTAGAATAGGCTAGACTATTTTCATAAGAACACATATGATGGAACATTTTGAGAATCATTTATTTTATATAAACAACTGTCAAAGTACTATGATGAAGGTGAAGGTTTAGAGAGGCTACAGAAAGAACAACAGCATAATATCCTGTCTGGATTTCACAGTGAAGCTCAGACACAGGAAGAAAAGGTGATGAAAGAAATAACTGAGAAGGAAGTCAAACAAGACACCTGAGACAGGATATCCTATCAGAAAGCTTATGTGAGGCCTATCATCACCGGAACAGTATATCTTGCTCTTTATTTGAGAAATGGTGCTAAAGATCTTATGTACTGCATGTCAATATAAACACATGCTTCCAAACTGTTGTTTAGGTTTTCAGAGCCATGCCTACTTATCACAACCACACAAACATGAAAACATGTATTAATTCTACTGTGGAACAACAGCTGCAAAAAGCTAAATGTATTTTTCTAACGTCCAAAGGAAGATTTAAAAAGGAGCTACTGAAAGCTGACTCTGGCTTTCCTCCTAATCGTAGCAAGAGACAGCGTTTTCCTCTCCATCAGGGCACTGATGGCTTCACAAAAGCCTCAGGTGTTTTTCCCAGAAACACCTGATAAGCCCCAATTAGCAGAGCGTCTGCTCACAAAAAACCAAGGCCACACCGCCCCATTACACCCCTGCTACCTGTCACACTCTACTTAAACCTGGCTCTACTTTCTCTGGGGGAAAGCACTCAATCCAAAAACAGAGCTCCTAACCCTTGACACAGCTTGAATGTCCAGGCTCACTCACATGTCCAATCTCCAGCAGACTAGATAAGAGTGGTGACTGAATGTTGTGTTTGGACAGTTTTTATTCACAGTTTATGTTGTTTGCATTTAAACTCTTTGTTTACTACTAGTAGACTCACTCAGCGTGTTACTTTGTTGAGCCGTGTGGTCTGAAACATCCTGTAATACATCTTTCTCCATCTGCCCTTCACACTTACATGCCTCTGTGGTGGCAACAAACGCCAGACCAGTATTTTTTATTCACGGCACACAATCAACTATTAATCCAACATCATGAGACTATTTGATCTTCTTTCTTTGGACTATACAAATTGAACATTTTCCATTTTAAGGAGATTTAATGACTTCTTGTGTCTTCTACAAGACACCAGGCTTTTTCTCCTGGAATAGACCCTAACTCAGCCACAAGGTGATCCATCATCCATACACAGCAAGCATCTGTTCTTTCCTGTTCAGTTTCACAGCCGTTTATGGCGTATACCGTATCAGTATATATGTATCTCTGAGAGTACTTTTCTAAAAGTGTAAACAGAATATGTCTACACCTTATCCCCTCTGCTTGTCGTGTCCAGCTTCTGTCTGCCATCTAACAACTAGCACTAAGGAAGTCATTTAAGTTTTCCTGGGCAATAGCAGATGTGTGAAAGTCACAGCACTGTTAGAAATAAACTCATATCATGTTTTAGGGAAAAAAGAGTATTTACTCTGAAACAGGATTTCATGACTAATCCGAAGGTGTCTTTTTGTGCTGACGTAAATCAAAAGGTTTCAATGTGGCTTCATACAACAGAATAATTGTAGCTACTCTGAGAAAAATTCCATATTCAAAGCACAGCGATGTACTTTCAAGTGTTTACATGCCACTGGGGAGAAAACACATCTAACTATTACAACCACAAAGTTTCACCACTGTTACCACATAAGCTTTAAGAAAATGACTTCTACTGAAAGATGCACACACACAGTCATTCCCTACACTTCTTGTGTTTATTAAACTTTATCAGTGATTACGTTGTCTTTA